AGGGGCCCGCCCCTCTCTCAGTCTCAACCCAGTCTGTTTGGATGGGGCTGCTCCTACCTCAGCCCCCTCCAGACACCAACACGTGAGCCTGGCTTGGCCCTCCAGAGTTCTAACCTGCCACCCACCCCCTAAGTCCCCAGGATTAGCTAAAGCAAGGCATGCCACCCAAGCTGGGCCTATCGGAGTTAATCTGGAAACATCTGTGGGTACAATCAGTAAGGACACCTTCAACAGCACTCAGAACTTTTAATACTCTTTATTAATCTAAAATAAATATGGAAAAGCACCTGTTAATTCTGGGTGCTGAATACATTGGGGGTGATCAGTACATTACTCCCTGGACTTTTCCAGTAAATTCTAATTTAAAAAAAAAAAATCAGAGCATGGGCCACTGTCCCTGGAACGTCTTCCTGGGGCTACCAGTACTGAGTGCTGAGTAACATACCAAGGCTACATGTTCGGATATTTATTTAAGGTCAGGACACTAGCTAATCACACAAATGTTGTTTTACAGGATAATGAATTACAAAGCTTTCAGAGAGGTTTACTCTACAATTATGACCGTAATTATTCACCTACTTGCAGAATTTATTATTCAGGTGTTCTGCTAATGTGCCTTGACCTTCCACACCCTGGAGGCCCTTCAGAATGTATCTCCAATCCAAAATGACTTCAATAATTGCCTCGTGCTTTATAATGCCATCCCTTTGAAACTTCAAATAATTCTGTAAAGTCAACATTATTATCTCTACTCTTCAGATGAAAATATTGAAGCTCTGAGGTAAAAACTTATTCTACGAATTTGTAGCTAGCAAATGACAGAGCTGAAGTTCAACCCAGACCCCCGCCACGCCGACTGGAAAGCCTGTGCCTGTCTGTTGCCTCCATGCTCTGCGATCCCTTCTTCGAGCTCCTTCCCTTCTTCACGGAAGAAGAAAGAAATGCCAATTGTACTCCTTGCCTACACACAGCACTGCTACTGAGAAACGGTAAGGTTTCCACCGAGGCTGATGACCAGTTCGGAGTCCCTCCTGCTCTGACCTGGCCCCCCGTATGGCTGATGGCACAAAATTTAGATTTCAGTCATGCAGGGAGAAGAGGGGAATGGAGTGGATTTGTCTCGAGATAAAGGGTAGATGGTGACCAGTCGACACAGGCGGGCATCTCTTGGTTAGCTGTCACACACCACCGCTGAGGTGGTATATAGATGTGGGTGGTAGCTTTGGCTTGGCCTCTTTCTAGGCGGATGACTGTATGCTTAATTTCATGTGTCAACATGGCTGGGTCACTGGATATTTGGTCAAACACTAGTCTAAATGTCTCTATGAAGGTGTTTTTTATATGTGATTAACATTTAAACCAGTAGACTTTGAGTAAAGCAAATTACCCACCGTAATGTGGGTGGGCCTCATCCAATCCGCTACAGGACTGAAGACAAAAGACTGAAGTCCCCAGAAGAGAAAATGCTGCCTGGGACTCAAGTTGTAACATCAGCTTTTCCCCGGTCTCCAGCTTGCTGACCTGCCCGGCAGAATTCAGAGTTCCCAGCCTCCACAACGGCACGAGCCAATTCCTTAAACTCGATCGAATCTTTCTAAATACATAGACAGATATAGATGTAAATGATAGAGCTATATGCGTGTGCACATATGTATGTAAATGTCCATATGTACACATGTGTGTACATGGTTGGGGGCAGGGGAGGTGTTGCAGGAAAACCAGAAACACCTTTCAGAAAAAGGGAAGGTACAACGTGGTCTCTTCATCCCAATTAATGACCGACAAGAAAATCAGTTACTTCCAACAGATACATATTTGCCAGATTCTTCCTACTGTAGACGCTTACAAGCTACAGGGCATTCCTTCCAAGACTCAAGAGACTCACAAACTCGCGACCGCCCATCCCCACAGAATCGAGCTTCTCAACCGTCCTGCCCTATTTTCTGGGAACCCAGGGAAACCAAGCTTCCTAACTGAAAGCATGAAGCACGTGCAGTGTGGAACAGGGGATCACTGAGCCTGCCACATGCGGGCAGAGACGCGACACGCAAGAGAGGTTGATAACTTCCTATTTTTTTTTTAATTCTTTTGTTTCTTAGAGTAAACTTTTAAAATTGCTCTCAAGCCTCCCCCATTTGTCAAGTTCCTCTCTCCCTGTATCTCCTGATTATTCTGAATGCCACCAGCAACAGGCCATTTCTTCTCCTACTGTCCCTGAGCCTACAGCAGATTAATTAAATGGAGATGCTGACAAGAGCTGCAGCCTTAAAATCCATCGCTACGGAATAGGACTCTGGTGGCCAGGACAGATGACAACAGTGGAGTCTACCTAATGAGAGGGACGGTGGGAGGAAGAGCCCCACGACACGGCAACAGACACTGAGTATTCAGAAAGACAAATCCCAGAGAAATAAGAGCCCTTCACGAGGACGGGATGGACTCCATATCCAATACAGAGCCAGTTGTTTGTCATGGAGCATATGAGCTATCGAAACTCAATTCAAGCTTGAATATAGAGGCAGGGGAGGTTAGTGCAATTATTGTTCTTATTAACAAGAAATTCAAGGTTGGACTGTCACATCAGGCACAGCTGGATTCAGGGGCTTGAAGGACCTCATCAAAACTCAGTTCCTCCTCGCTTCTCAGCTCAGCTCCTCTGTGTGTGATGGCCTCATTCTCAGCCTCCACATGGAGACAAGATAATTTCCCCAGCCTTCCAGGCCCAACAGAAAGAAAGAACTCTTCTCAACAGCCTATTAGAGCCCTGAGACCCAGCTGGAGCTGGCCGGCTAAGGTCAAGTGCAGGGCGAAGGGTGGAGGCCCACCTATGTCACAGGACTGATACTGAGTGAGGATGCTGGTCAAATGAGAAATGGACCGAGTGGGACCTGACACGATGGGGGGACACATATGTCTACTCTGCACAGGCAGATGAAGGAGTCAACTCAAGCCACATGACAAGGGCAGACCCATGTCTTTCTGGAATTATGTTCTCCTGGTAGGAGAATCTCTTCCTTAGTATGAAAAGCAAGCTCTGATTTATAGGCAAATGCTCCTTCAGAAGAGCCCATGAGAAGCCCAGCACCTAGCAAGGTTCTGTTCAGCAACAAAGACCTTCATAAGAATGTCCTCCCGTGGGACATGCAGAGAAACCAGCCACCCCAGCTGCACACATGACCACTGACCACATCCAAAAACTGATGCCAAGGGTCCACTGAACAGTGGGGCCACAACTGTACAGCCCTGGGGGCTTCACCTCTAACGTCCAGAGCAGGCTGTGACAGGAACCATCTACCAGGACTGGTACCAGTGACCCCGGGGTGGGACAAATAGGGACCAAGGCAAGGATTTCCCCTGCTTGACCAGACAAGCATACCATGCACAGGTGTGGGAGAGACACAGGAAAGGAAGGGGAGGGGGGCTTTCCTGTTCCAGGTGAGGCTGCAAATCAAAGGCCACAGGTCTCCTCTGAGGTCCCCAATTTGTCCACTGGGGAACCTCTGACCAAAAACCCAACTTTCAAAAAACATCAACCTTCCAACCACAAGCTCCACGAGACAATGACAAAGACGATGCATCAATGACAAAGTTAATACCTCAATTTAAGTGAAGTTATGTTAACTTCCTATCGCTGCTGTAACAAACTGCCACAGATTTGGGGCCTTAAAACAATACAGATTTATTGTCTTACAGTTGAGGAGGTCACAGGTCACAGATGGCCTTTACAAGCTAAAATCAAGGTGTCGGCAGGGCCGCACCCCTTCTACAGGCTCAAGGGAAGAATCCATCTCCTTGCCCTTTCCATTTTTTGGAGGATATCCACATTCCTTCGCTTGCGGACCCCTCCTTCATTTCCAAAGTGCACCACTCCATCCTCTGTTGCTGTTGTCACCGCTTCTCCCTAACCCTCCCGCCTACCTCTTAAAAGGGCCCTTGTGATTACACGACGGTTATCTGGATAAACCAGAATAATTTCCCCATCTCAGGATCCTCGACTTAATCACACCTGAAAAGTCCCTTTTGCCATGGGAGGTGGTACATTCAGATTCTGGGGACTGTGACACAGACGTCTTTGGCGGACCACTATTCTGTGTACCATAGCATTTTCTACCCAGACTCTGACTCAAGCATGTTATCTGAATTTTATCACTCAACATTTAGTCTTCATGACAATGACCGGTGAAGTATATACTGTTTTAATCCTAATTTTATGATTGTAGGGAGGAGCTGTAAGAGGTAAAGTGAGATGGTAAAAGTACTAATAATATTAACTGCCAACATTTATTGATTGGCTACTACATATCAGATATTATTCTAAGTGCATTCCAGGTACCAATCGGGCTGGCCCAGGAGCAATTTAGTAGACTCACAACAGTCATGCTGTAGCAAAACCGTGGAGAGAAGAGGCATACAGCACCACCTCATTTGAAAAACTGATCATTTTTCTATCTACCTGCATTTCTGATTAATATTAATAATAGCTAAAGTTTTCTCAGTACTTACTCTATGGTAGGCATTATGCTAAGATGTCCATGGGGACTGCCTCATGAGGTAGGTGCTGTCAACTAACCCTACTTTACTGATGAGAAACTCAGGTACAGAGAGATTAAGGAACTTAACCAGAGCTGGGGTTGGAAGCCGGGCAGCCTCAGTCCAGAGCTCTATTCTCCACCACTGCAGCGTTCTGTCGCTTCCGCCCGCGGCCTGATGCGACATAATCATGCTGCAAGGTTCACTACCTTGTAACTATCTCCAGACTCTAGACATAAAACTCCCTAAGTACACAAATTGATATGACTGTTGCTAATAATCTAGCGAGTAAGTCTTACAATGTTAGTTAAGCAAGAATATACAGCAGGGTTTTCCGTCTAATTAATTTTCCAGAATCCTGTTTTTCTAATTCAACATCACACATTGAGTGTCTACTACGTGCCCGGCTCAGGGGTGATGAAGACGCAAGGCTTGGCCCTCTCCCCACCCCGGCTCAGTCTCCCCCTTACCTTCAGCAGTTTGGCCTTCTCTTTTCAGCATCTGGACAGCTCCTACATATTTCTTCAGCTGGACTTTGAGAACCTCATTTTCCCTGCAGGTACAAGAATGTTAAAAAATATTTTTTTTTAATTGGCAATTTAGAACCAAGGTGGAGTGGGGGGAGGGGCAGTCTGTGTAAAGAAAAATATGCAATGTGCATCTTATAAATATTAATGTATTTTCAATATCTTCAATGGAAAAAACGGTGAAGGGCACATGTGCAGAATGCCTTCAAGAACTGTTCTTTCATGATGGAAATAAGCTAACTGCTCCTAGTGGCCACAAATTCAGGATGATGACATTTGCTGTGCTCAGGTTATATGAATCTATCCATCTGTTAGGTGTGTATTCTGGACCTGTAATATTCTCTCCATTTCAGAAGCACGTACCAAGGACTGTATTCAACCTGGGCAATACTCTTAATATTTTTATTAACCGCTACACGGACTGAATATTCAGTTTGCCAGGCATCACATCAAGTCTTTAGGTATCTCATTTAATCCTTCCAAGGTATGATCACAACACTCATTTCACAGACAAGGAGACATAAAGAGGAGAAACGGTTAACCAGGTTCACATCCACCCCCACATACGACTGTGCTGTGAAACACGGATCTCGGGCCATGACAAAACCCCACTCTGCTGAGCCCACTCCCCAGGTACTACTCTGGCTAAGGAAGACCATGTGGGGACTGGGAAGGAAGACTACAGTTTGTTGAGTATTTATGACCTAGCTCGGACTTTACACATGTGACCTCATTGAATCAAGTATGCATTTGTTTATTTATCCATTGAATCAAGCATGCATTTGTTTATTTATACTCGGTTCCCAAGGCACAGAAGAGCTTTGAAGGTCTTAAGATTTGGACTTGGTTTCTTACCACCCCAGAGAGAGGTGCCGCTTCCATATTTCCTGTTTCTGCCCCGCCCCTCAAAGGTTTCAAGCCTGAGTGCCTTTAAACAAGCTAGAGTACTTCCTCACAATGAAAAGAGCTCTATGACTGGGGTTCTTTGATGATTACGAAAATACATTTAAAACTGAAAAGACTCATTGCAAAATACTCAATTAGAAAACATTTAAGAGGGCCTAATAATCAGCTGAAAATCCAACAGCTTGAAATAAACCCAACGTTTTTATAGCTATCCTGTCATACCTCTCCCTAGGCACGCATGCACACACACACCTAAATATAATTTCTGCGGATGAAACATCTTTCGCACTCCTTTAATTTTTTTTGCTTCGAGTCTTTTTTCCCTTGGTTAATGTTCCGCTCGCCCCTTCCCCACCACAATCAACATTAAAAGCTTCGTATGCACATTTCCTACCTTCCTCCACGCTAGTCACTACGAACCTGATACACTCAAATACTTTATAAAACCAGCTCATATTACAAATTTTTCTGCAACTGGATTTGTCTCATTTAACAATTCGCCACAGAAAGCTTCTAACTCGATCTGCTTATGGATGGGAATGGCCCATCTTGATAGGGATGTGCCACAATTTACTCAGTGGAAAAGCCTGAGACCACCCAGCGCTGGTTCTGTCGTCTGTTTGCAATGCATCTGACTGCGCCAGCCCGCAAAGACTGCGCTTTCTTTGTATTCTGCTTTTCTACACTACATTTTGGCAAAAAGAACATCCGCATCAACTGCAGACACTACCATATACTTAGGTGTCACCTGAGCACTCCACATTCATCTCCGCAGCTTTCGAGAGAGTAAAGCACAGCGCAGTCCCTTAATTATCACCCTCCTCCTAGACAGCCTGCCACAGATGTTTCTATAGGTGTCTGCACTTTCTCTGTCTGTGATATGAATAGCAAACATCTGAAGCTAAACAACTAACAAACAAGTCCTGAAAAGGTTTGTGGGAGGAAAAATATTCCCCAATGTACAAGGATTTACAGCTTGTTTTCTTGGGTTCCCTCAGCCAGAGTCTTGTCACTCATCCCAGCCTAGTTCTAATCTCCGCATGTGAATTCAAGTCACATATGATCTGAAAGCTAGGGAAAGCAAGCCATTTATGTGCATTTCTATGTGGCATAATTTAACAACGGTTCATGGCAGAACATTCCAAAGAGGTAAAACAAGCAGGTTCTTTTCAGCTGACAGACAGACGAGTCGTGTCAATGTTTGGCTGCCCCGTCTCCTCACAGTTGCTCACACCTCACAGGCCGACGCTCGGCTTCCTTGTTCATCTGTGACTGCAGCCAGCATTGAAAGGTTTCAAGCAGCTGATTTTCTTCTGGTTTGGATCTTTTAATCGCGTCTTAAGACTCTGAGTATCAGGCCTCAGAGATAAAAGCCAAGATTTTTCATATAAACCCGATTTCCATCAAAATGGTGAGAAGCCATGGAGAATATATCAAACCACTGGGGCTGGCACCTTTGGGAGCCATGAAGTCAACCTGGCCAAGCTCATATCAATGAACTTGCTTGCCTTTTGTGGGAAATGAACACTCTCAGGTCACTGGAACCACTTCCCAATGAATCTCAAACACCTGGAGGGCACACTGACTCCCTCAAAGAGGCAAGAGGCTCCTAACCCCACAAACAGGATGAGGCCCTTCTGGTTTTTAATTTTTATTTTGAAGTATCTATAGATTCGCATGAAGTTGCAAAGATCATACTAAGAGGTTGGTCGTGTGTACCCTCAGCCCGGTCTCCCCAGTGGCCACATCTTAAATCACTGTGGTGCCAGAGGAGGAGCGGGAGTCTGACGTGGGCATGCATGCGTGTGTGCGTGTGTGTTTCTATGGAGTCCATTATTTTAACTGCTGCTCATAACAGTCCTGTGCCACAGCGTGTCTCTTAAGATGGAACACAGACTTAAATGACCACAGCAGACAGGCCAGGCCAGTGAGGAAAGCAAACCAGCTGTAAGACAAGAGGGAACAGGGACCGGAGGCTTTGGCAAACTACAGAGTTCTTGCCCCAGCCAAAGGTATTTTTAGAAACAACACGTTAATGTCCCAAGAAAATAATTCCTAGACTCTGGGCAACTAATCTACAACCAGCTAACAGGACTTTAATTTATAGACAGAAGAACCATATAGAATTTCTCATTCTTATCATTACACAGACCTCTGTTATAATTATCAAATAAAAATGCCTTTTTATTTGACGCCTCATGAGACAACAGAATGGATCAACTAATTAAGCGTACTCTAACTATGAAAGGCCTCAGATCTGCAAAAGTGGCCGAAGCCCGCCCCAGCAGAGGCTTTCAGCCCTGCACAAGTCACACGTCAGGTGCTGTCACCTAAACAGGTGGGAGGCAAGATGAGCAGGGAAGTTTTGCCAGAGGCATGAATGGGAAATACGAATCAACAGCCTCAAGAACTGTATGCTTGTTGACTAAACAACTCCCTAGGAAACTATGCTCAGGAAATGACAAGGGGCAGAAGTCTCAAACATACACGAGGATGTTGTAAACGTATCAGAAAGAAACCGATTACGAAATAAACGTCTGATAGTGGAGGAGTGGGTAGATTATGGTGCATCCACCTATAAAAGGACACTACGGAGCCGTCAAAAGTCCGACGAATACGTGTGTCTACTAACATGGATGAACATTCACGATACGGCATTGCGTGATGGCGGCCGAGCACAAGAAAAGCACACTTACTATATCCCCTTCCATATGCTTATGCTATATATGTGCATTGGAAATATATACAGTACTTATTTCTAAATGATGGAATTAGGAGAATTTTTTTTTTTAATTTTCCGTCAAGACATTTTACTAGTGCTCTAGGAAAAATATATATTTAGAGTAGGTTAGAGCTACAAAAAAAACCAAAAACAAAAACCTACATCTAAGACTATTCTTAGTGGTGAAAGACTGCATGGTTTCCCAATAAGACTGAGCAAAAGTCAAGGAAATGCCCCCTCACCACTCCCAGTCAGCACAGGTTTCAGGGTTCTAACCAGAGAAATAAGACCAAAAAGGGATGCATGCAGAGAAAAACTGTCTCTATTGGCAGATGACAAAATTTTCTAGACAATCCCAAGAATCTACAAAAAGCTCCTAGAACTAATAAGTGAATTTTTCACAGTCAAATACAAAAACTAATTGTATTCTTATGCACTATCAGCAATGAACCACTGGAAAACAAAATTGTAAAAAGAATTCTTTGCCACTGTTTCAAAAGATGAAATATATAGGTATAAATCTAAGAAAACATGCAGGATTTGAATGCTGAAAACTATAAAATACTGCTGAAAGAAATTGAAGCAGAAGTAAACACATGAAAATAACAGGTTCATGGATTGGAAGACTCGAAATAGTTATGATGTCAATTAACAAATCAATCGATTTAATGCAAGCCCAGCAGGATTTTTTTGTAGCTAGAGACTAGCTGATTCTAAGATTCATATGGAAAGGAAGAGAAACTATAATAGCCAAAATCATTTTGAAAAAGCAGCACAAATTTGGAGGTCGTATGCTACCTAATTTTAAGACTATAAAGCTACAGCAACCAAGGAATGCAGTACAGGCGAAATGATAGACACAGACCAATAGAACAGAACAAAGAGTCCAGAAATAAACTCACAAATATGGCCAAGTAATTTCTGGCCAAGATACAAAGACAATTCAGGAGAAAGATTGTCTTTTCAACACATGGTCTTGGAATAACTGGACTTCCATGTGCAAAAAACTAAATTTCAACTAATACTTCATATCTTATACAAATATTAGCTCAAATTAGACCACAGATAAATGTAAAACAAAATTGAAAGAATTTCCATCTAAAACAAAACCAGAGGATATAAAATGGAAAATCTCACACATGTGCCCTCAGGACGACAAAAACTTAAAGAATAAGAGACCGATTTCCCATAAACACCAGATTTACAGAAAACTGGTACAACGGACCCCCCTGCAGCTTGCTACAGGTTTACATTTCCCAAACTGCAATTACTCTGCTATTCCCCAACAAATGCACCTTTCTGAGCATGTCTCAGTTTACCTCTTTGTTTAGGTCAACAAAACTATAAAACTTTTGAGGAAATTTTCATGCCTAAACTGGGGTTAGGTAAAGAGTTCCT